AGGAGGCCCAGGCTGGGGTGTCGGCACCACCAGGTGGAACGCTTGCCCAGATTAGAAATCAGGAAGATCAGTAACTCTTCCCAGACCAACTCCCAGCCACATCTCTGCTCAGCCCGAGGCAACCTTGGGGTCTACCCATCCTCTGGAGCACCAAATCACGGTGGGAGGTGGGGAACCCTCCTGCTCCCGCCCCTCTGCATCCCCCACCCCAGCTGCAGGCCGTGGAGCTGCCAGCTTCACATCAGATCAAAGCCCTGGAGGATGGCATGAGAACTGTCCAGTCCAGTTAGGAGTGAAGGTCACGGATCTAGTGCAGACCATAGAGGCAGAAAGCAGAAAAACCTCCCACGCGTGCACCGATGCACACGCCTCCCACCCGGACACACCCTCCCCCAGGGTCAGCCCAGTGTTCTGAGGCCAGCAGACACGCCCAGGAAGACTGGCTGACACGCCCCTTGGAGCCAGGCAGAGGCACCAGCTGTAGGCCTGGGACAGCCCCACCACCCCCGCAAGCTGCTGCCAGCCTGCACTTCTGCTCTCTCCCGTCACTGCCTCTGGAGGTCAGGCCTCCAGAGCCTCCTTACAGGGCCCGGCTGCTGTGCCACACATTGCTTCCCACTTGGGACATCCCCAATGCACCCCCCACCCTCGCCCCCGCAAGACATCACCGGCCCTCCCTTCCTGTCACCCCCATGGAGGTCATGGAGGTCAGGTCTCCAGAGTGTTCCTGGAAGGCTGGGCTGGCCCATATGGCTGGGAATACGTTGCCAGCGAGGGCAAGTGCTCACGCGAGCCTGGCAGCCGGCTGTGACAGCGTCACGCTCGCCAACCAGGCCTCTGGCTTGCTCCCGGGCTACAGGGCAGTGCTCAGGGTGGCAAGGGGCCTGTCCAGGGGAGCTGGAGATCGCTGCTATCACAGCGTCGATGCTGGGAATGCCCGCCCCAACCTGGCCCTCACAGATGGTGTCAGGACCCAGGAGAGTGGAGCCTCATGTCAGAGGAACTGGGAAAAGGGAGACTGGCCTGGGTTCCAGGCGAGCGGGATACCGGGGCAATTCACACCTCTGTGTGTGGTAACACTGTTAGGGTCCCTGCCGATGAGCAGGGGCTGGAGGCTGAGCCGGCCCCACGGAAATGTGGGGGCTTCAGACAAGCCCATCTGCCAGCCCTCACAGCTCATCGACGAGGCTCTATATGACTCGGCACGTGGAAAAAGGTGTGCGGAAGCTCAGCCCTGAGCACACAGATCACATTCAAAGCCACAGAGAGAGAAACTCAGCCAACTTTTAGACCCAATCTGAGACCCAGTACAGAACCCAAGGAGCAAACACACAAAGCTGGCTTCAGTGCAGAGCCAGGGCCGAAGGGACAGTGTGTGTCCCGGCCCAGTCCCAGCCTCACTCCTGAAAACAGTGCCGGAGAGAAGCAGTTCCCTCCACAAGGAGCCCGATCCACTCAAACAAGCCTTTCTCAGCAGCCAGCATGGTTCCAAGATGACGCTTCTCCCCTAATGCATGAGACGTTAACCCTCGTTAACCCTCTCAAAGCCGTGGGTCGTTCTTGGTACTGTCGTGTTCAGGGGGCAGGAGAGAGAGGAAAAGACACAGAGCCACAAATCAGGGGGCACAGAATGCTGGAGTCATCCTGGGGCCCTCTCTTTTCCTTGCCCCACTGAATCCACCATTGAGTCCTGCTAACTCTTCCTCTACACACACACAGACTCTGACCCCTTTCCTGCCTGTCCACCTCCTCACCCAGCCACCATCCTCTCACACCATCGGCTGCAGCAGCTGCCCCTCTGGCCTCCCAGTTTCTTCCCTTGGCAGCCCCAACTACCTTTTTAAAACAAACATTGGCTGGGCACAGTGGCTTACACCTGTAATCTCAGCACGTTGGGAGGCTGAGGCGGGTGGATCACTTGAGGTTAGGAGTTCAAGACCAGCCTGGCCAACATGGTGAAACCCTGTCTCTACTAAAAATACAAAAAGTAGCCAGGCGTGGTGGCGTGTACCTATAATCCCAGCTACTCGAGAGGCTGAGGCAGGAGAATCTCTTGAATCTGAGAGGCAGAGGTTGCAGTGAGCCGAGATTGCGCCACTGCACTCCAGCCTGGGTGACAGAGTGAGATTCCATCTCAAAAAAAAAACAAAATCCAAAAAACCATCACATCACTTTACTTCTTGCTCAAAACCCTCCAGTGGCTTCCTATCACCTAAGCATAAAATCCCAACTTCTCCCCAGGCATACAAAGCCCTGCACCTCTTGACACCCACCCCATCCACGTCCTGGTCACTCGGCCTTTTCTTCCAGTCACTGAATGCACTGAGGGCATCCTACCTTAGGGCCGTTAGGCTAGCTGTTCTCTCTTTCTAGAATATTCTGCCTGCTCTTCACTGATCTGTCTACTTCCTGTCCTTCAATGTCAGCTAAATGTCACCACGTCCTTGAGAAACCACCTCTGAGCAGCCTGCCAGGAGTGCCAAGCAGTCACTTCCCATCACCACCTCCTACTTCCATTCTCTGCTGGCATCTTCCTTTTTTGTTTTTGCGGGTTTGTTTCATGCTGCCTCCCCTACCGGACTCCATAAGAACAGGGACAGTCTTGTCACCTCTGTTTGCTGGTGAGTGACTGGCAGACCCCAGACACTCTTCTCTTTTTTTTGGAGACAGTCTTCCTCCGTCGCCCAGGCTGGAATGCAGGGGCGCAATCTTGGCTCACTGCAACCTCCACCTTCCGGGTTCAAGTGATTCTCCTGCCTCAGCCTCCCAAGTAGCTGGGATTACAGGCATGCACCATCATACGGCTAATTTTTGTATTTTTAGTAGAGATGGGTTTTGCCATATTGGCCAGGCTGGTCTTGAACTCTTGACCTCAAGTGATCTGCCTGCCTTGGCCTCCCGAAGTGCTGGGATTACAGGCGTGAGCCACCGCGCCTGGCCCCAGACCCTCTGTAACTGCTAGATAAATGCAACCAGCTTTTTTGCAGAGGAGCCCGAGGTGGGGGAATCTGAGCCAGACAGGGCCAGGCCTGCAGATCAGACCTGCACACAGGCTTGCCCCCTGGTCTGCATTGGTGAGGCAGGACCGCTCTGAGACCATGGATCACTCCTGCCATAGAAGGCCCCCGCCTGGAGTCCAGCCTGGTCACTGGAAAGGGCTAAGTGAGAAGGGACTTGGCCATGATATTCTCTCTTGGAGCCCTTGGAGTTCCTAAGCTTCATTATCAAGTCCAAGACAGCTGATGCCAGGATGCAGGTGTCCCACCGGACCTGTGGAACCCATGCCCCATGCCAGGCACAAATCCCAGCTGGCATATGACCCCTGGGAGTCAACAGAGAGTGGAAACTTCAGAAAGGAAAAAGTGAATGGGCGTGTTTTGCCCAGGCAAAGAAGAAAACAAAAAGGCCGCCACTGAGAACAGAGGAGGCAAACATTACCCTCTCAGAGGGGAGGGGCTCCGCAGGCACTCACAGCCTCTTCATGGGCGGGGCACGGGGCAGGGCCGGGCAAGACCACCCTGAGGCTTGGATACATTTGGGCCTGCATCCCAAGATTCATGATCATCAGAGGAAGCAGAGTCTGTTAAGAACAGCCCGGGAAGGTGGCAGAGCAAACCCAGAAGACTTCAGTGCCACGAAACTCCCCCCACAGCCTTTTCCAGGTGACAGTCTAAACAGCTCCGGTGCTATCCAGGGCACAATGGCAGCACATCCTAAGTATGATGGACCAACTGCAGGAGCATGATCACATTCTGCATACCAGGAAGAAGAGTCGCAGCCACACAGTTGCCCCACCACAGCGACCCAAGGCCACTTTTGCATCTGATTTGCAAATCTCTGGGCTGTATCCAGAGCTAGTTCCCCGAGGAGGCATGGCCTGGATTCAGGCAGGTCTGCGGCTTCAAGGACCTACGAAATCCCAGTGCGCACCAAGGCACCCATCTCTGCAAGCGCTTCCTCCCTGCAAGTTCGAAGTCCAGGGCTGCTGAGCCCAGCCCCAGAGGGAGGGGCAGGACACACCTGCCCAGGGCGACCATGAGGAGGAGGAGTGCAGGCAGGTGAGCCAGGGACACAGGCTCCAGGTTGGCACACACAGGAACAGCAGCCCCCAGCCCTGCCCTCCCCAGACAGCCTCTAGGCTCTCAGGCTCCGCCTCCATCCCTAGACCTTGCCCATGAACTTCACAAACACCCCATCCCTCTGGACTCGTTCCCTTGGGATCTCAAGAAAATACCGAATAATGACCAACATGCAATAAGTCACCCACTGTGTGTCAACCCCTCACCCCAAGAACTGCCACGTTTGATACCTGCAGGTAAATATCCAACAGTACCAGCTCCACAGACTACCCCTCCCTGGCATGAGTGACCTGCCTTATGCAAAGGGCTGTTTCCAAGCCTGGGTCAAAAGGCACCTACAGCTTCTCCTCTATGAAGGGTCCTATTTGGGCCGGAGGACCACTGAAGAGAGCCTGATAAATCATCCCCAAGCCAGTTCCTACCATACATGAGCTCAGAGCAGAGCAGCCTCTGGAGATGGAGAAAGGCTGGAACTACTGTCCAGCCCTTCTAAGATGAAGTTCCAACCTAATGCTTAGATCTGGGAGTGGCATCTGATAGAGAATGGTCCTTGCCTACAAAGCCAGGGCACTGCTGGCACCATTCATTGTCATGCCATAGAAACACTGGGAAGATCCTTAAAAGGCCAGTTATGCTAACCTCTTTATTTCACAGGTGGGGACACCAAGATCCAGAGGGTAAGTATTGAGTCGATGACAAAGCCAAGGCCCAAATGCAGGTGCTGTGCTCCCGGGCCGGGGCTTTCTTCTCCACGCAACACTTTTTTCATTCTCACTGATAGTGCTTAAGCGACCGCCATTGGGATCAGAACCCACTGGGAAAGGTGAGTCTAGGCCCTACACAGTCTGTATCCTAAGAAGCAACCCCCAAACTGGTCACCCCACACTTCCTAGTGGCATCTTGGGAACTGGAAGCAGCTACCTTTGCATCCCAAGAGGCCAGGGTTCGAAGTCCATTCCAACACACGCCACTGGGGAGTTGCAGGAGCCCCTTGTAAAGGAGGGGTCAATGGCCGCGGCAGCTGGGAGGGTGGGTGGGATGGAGGAGTCTTTGCCTTCAGTCAGCAAGGTCTGTTTGCCTACCAAAACGAGAGAGGAAAACACAAAAGATTAGGCTACAACCGACACCCACAAACCCACCCCACACTTGGGGTGTACAATGGAGGGCAAGGTTCCGACATCTTGTGTGGTAACCAGCCAGCAAGGTAAGAGATTCTTATTCCTGCCAATCAGCAGATGGCATTGCCACGGCGCATACCATGCCTGACTCTGCAACCAATGCACTCTTCGCACAATTATTAGCCAATTGCTATGCAGTTGTCGTACCTAATAAAATAAGCAAACAGGTAGAAACAATACTAGGCCAATCAGGTGCCTCCCTGGGTAACACAGAAGGATCACACCCAAGGCTGGGCACCCAGGGTGAAAGGTCAGGCCTGAAAATGGATCAAGCCAATACCGGAAACAGATCAAACCCATGCAACCAAACCAACCCTGGGCTCCCCAGCGCCTGCCCCCTCCAGACTTCCCCTGCGCCAGCTCCCAGCTGCTCCCCTGACCCCTGGGTGACCTTCTGGGAGTCTCTATAAAAGGAATCAACAGGTGTCTCTGCAGCGACCCAGGATGGTGCATTTAGTTTCTTCTGGCTTTCCTTCCCCACTTCCATTCTGGTACTGTGCGACTCAATTTCATAAAAAGAAAAGAGGGTGTGGGCCCATACCCTGAAAGCGGGTTGCTGAGATTCAGTGGCGATAGGTGTTGGGACAAAAAAAAGTAGCCAAAGAAAGTTGGTGCCCTGCTACCGGCAACCTTTGTGTCAATTTAAACAAATATTGTGGTGTTTCTATGGTGATTCCTGTTTTGAATATCCACTACACTCACTTTTTAAAGGGCTTTTCCTGTTTGCGTTTCAACTTCAAACCTGTAAATATTTTCAGCATTTTTAGAAAAAAGGAGCTCATGTGCGTGCAAACACAAACACACAACCCGATCTCAGCGTGCAACCTCCCAGTCTTGGAAGCCCGGCCTCGTGGATGTGAGGATGGGGTGCAGACAACCCAGAGGGGGTGCTCGGCCTGCTCTCCTGTCCACCCTGCCTGCAGAGCTGGCACCAGGAAGATTGCCACTGAAATCCTGGCCGTTTCCTTCCCCCTTTGCGGGAAGATCGCAGCAGCCACAGCAGCTCTGCGTTCCTGAAACGTGTGAGAGGGCTGGGCCCTGCCTCCGCAGGGTGGCATGGTGTGGGCAGCTGCCCTGCAGGTTCTCCAACTTGGCCCGGCCCTCGGAGTCCCCGGAGGCCTCGCAGGAGTGCACGAACCCCTCCCCTCCTGCTGCCCAAGGTTGGATCTGAGCGCGAGGGGGAGGTGGCTCTTGGAAGGTGACAGCTTCAGCATCAGCTCTGCCCCACCTCGGCTGCGGCAATGCCACCGAGACCAGCTCCCTTGGGGAGGCCATCGGGGTGGACAGCATCTACAGTCCAAGGCTTGGATCAGCCCAGCTCTCATCCCACCCCTTGGCGCCACACAGGGTTAACAGCGGGTTTCCTGGTTTCCATGGATTCCCGCCAGGCCCCTAATGTGAGTTTCGTGTGATTTGGGGGAAGTGGATTTCCTTTGTTTTCCAGTTTGGGAATATTTTTTTCTTTAAAAAAGAGGAAAAAACACTTTAATGGAAACTTCAGGGCCACTGGGAGACTCACTCCTCTGGGCTCTGAAACTCCCCTGCCTGTTAGTCCAGAATCCCCCAAAGCCCTGGGCAGCCCATCCACCCACAAAATCCCCCTGGGCTGGAAGAAGGCACGCCTTGGACTACCTACACTCCCACTCCAAGAATGTCCATCTGCTGGGGGTCTCGACTCCAATATCCCATCGGAACGACCCCACCTAAAAGCGAGCGTCTTGCATAGGAGGCTAACACGCCCCTCTTCCAGCTTTGTAAAACGGACATGTACATTCCCCAGAGAAAAGGTCAAGGGAAACACTTCTACCTCCCCAACTCCAGGCAAGGCACTGGCAAGACCAGGGTCTGACCACAGGCCAACGGTGAACACTCCCAGTGTTTCATGTCCTTGGCTCACAGGGGGTTCCAGCTACGGAAGGAAAGGGGGTTCCAGGCCCTGGTGGGACCCTTGTTGGGCTTCGCCCAGTGGAGAGAGGGGCCTGCCCAGGGCAGAGGGTGCTTCTCAGCTTTGGCAGCAAGAACAACTGAATAAAGGGTGTGGCCAGGCCTCCTCCTCCTTCTCCCCCACAGTCTTCCCCATTCCTGCCATCCTCCAACCCTGCCAGGGCGTGGCCTTGCTCCAAGACTGTCCCCAACCAAGTGGCCTGACCCACTTACCAAACCAGGGCACAGGCCCCGAGGCCTTCCATGAACTGAGGCTCTCCCACAGCCCAGGCCCCGGGGGCCATGGATCCCGGTCAGAAAGCGCAGAGTGCAGAGGCTGGGTCTCTCTGACCAGCGGCTCCAGAGTGAAGAGGTGAGAAGCTGAGTGAGTGCGCTTACAGAACTCACAATGGGCTGAGAACCAGGAGACATGGGTCCGAGTCCCAGTTGTGCCCCCTGAAACCTCCACGGGCCCTTAGACAAGCCTGCTAATCTCCCTAGGTTCATTTTCCTCACCAGCCAAACAGAGACGATGCCTCAGTCTTCCCTCCTACCTCGCAGGCTGCGCGAAGGATGGACAAGGGATGTGAAAGGGTGTTAACAAGCACTCTAGACATGCCTAGAATCACCACCACCCTCTTCTTCCAAGTCTCTTCAAGGTAACCTTCTGGAATCTACCCCGGGTGGCCCCACGCGCCCCAACTCTGCTGCTCCTACATCCTCCACCACGGCATTTACATCCACACTGGACTAAATTAATTTGTTCACAAGTCTGTCTCCACCGTTGGACTTTTAACTCCTCAAGGGCAGAGAGCGGATCTTAATGATCTGCGTGTCTCCAGCATTTAGCACAACAGCTGGGCGACCGTGGGCAGCGAAGGTGTTGGTGGAACTGAACTAGTCGCTGACTTCATGTCAGAGTCAGATGAGCCCTGCGCAGCTTGGTCCCTCTTCTCCAACCGAACGCTCCACTTGCTGTTTTCTTTTTTGAGATGGAGTCTCGCTCAGTCACTCAGGCTGGAGTGCAGTGGTTCAATCTTGGCTCACTGCAACCTCCATCTCCTGGGTTCAAGCAATTCTCCTGCCTCAGCCTCCCAAGTGGCTGGGACTATAGGCAAGTGCCACTGCACCCAGCTAATTTTTGTATTTTTAGTAGAGACAGTGTTTTACCAGATTAGCCAGACTGGTCTCAAACTCCTGACCTCAGGTGATCGACCTGCCTCAGCCTTCCAAAGTGCTGGGATTACAGGTGTGAGCCACCGCACCCAACCCTGTTGGCTCTTTTCGTGCCCATTCTGTTTAGCTCTCCCCAAGCCTCAACCTGTGCCTTGCTCTCTCCCCCTCCTCCATTAGCCCTGTGAATTAACAGCTCTCAGGTTCAAGGGAGCCCCTTAGTTACTTGATCCCCTCCAACCAATTCCAATAAGAATGAACCACGTGCCTACTGTGTGCCAGGCGGCAGGCTGGGAGTAAGGGCAGGGCACACTGATGAGTGGCCTCTGCCCCCTGCCTATAGGCCGAAGTGAGAACTCTTGGTATGAACCAATCAGATGCCTTCTATCTGCCAAGCGCTGTGCCAAGTGCCCTACGCGCATGATCTGGCCAAATCTTTACAACACAAAGGCAGAAATGGTTATGGTCCCCGTGGATAGATTAGGGAGGGCAGGCATGGAGACACGAAGTGACTTGCCGAAGATCATACCGTGCACAGGTGCCAAAGCCAGGCCTGGGCTGACAGGCTCCAAGGCCCAACTCACTTAAAAGGTCATCCTCCTCCCCTCCCTGTGATCTCAGCAGCCACCCACAACTGATGCCACTGCCCCTCCAGAATCTCAGTTCTCCTGGCCTCAAAACAGGTCTGGACCAAGTCCCCCAGAGCCACCAGGCAGCGCTCACACATCACAATGAAAGGCTCGGGTGCTTCTGGCCAGGCTGAAAAGGGGGGAAAGCGAGGCCTGTGGTAACACTCGGCGAGCAGGAGGAAGCCCTGAACACATCTTCCAAATGGGGTCTGGGCTGTGGTCATACTCATTGCAACCTGTCATCTGACAGGACGGGGACAAGGAAAGCACCTCCATGCTAAGTCAGGAGGTCCTGCTGAGACAGGACAACTTCCGTTTCTTCTCTCCAGATAAGGGGAAAGCAAAAGGGCGTTATCTTTGGGGGCATGGGTCAGAGATTTCTGCTGCCTCCCCTCCATCGGAAGCTCCCCGCACAGTGAACATCTGCCACGGAGACGCGTGATTGGGAAGCAGGGCCAGAGAATCCCCTGATTTTCACCTGGGGGCATGTGGGTACGGGGAGGTGCCCATCATCTCCCCAAAGGAGGGAAGACACTGGGAAGTGGTAGGGAATGATTTCTATCCGAGAGCGTATGTGGTGGAAGATCAGCCCGGGGTGGGGAGAGGACAGAGCGCTAATGAGCAGATTTCATAAACCACCCGAGTGAAAACAAAAACACAGACGCGCACATTGCCCAACTCCAGGGCTGTATGGAAAAGGGAAAAAAAAAAACCAATAAAAAAATCCACATCTTAATACAAAAATCCTCCATGATGTGTTGCGGCACGAAAGTGTTTTTCACTGCATTTTTCATCTGTGATCTCACACGGCCCACGACGGGTACGCCCAACGCGGCAGGTATTCGACGGTACGCAAACAGGGCAGACACACACAATGAGCCAAAACAAGGAAGGCCAACATGCAAATCGGTCCAGGCTGGCATCTCACGGCTTCAGGTGGCTTCTGGCGACGGCCTCATTGGACCTGAACATGGGACCCTTTAGATTTCTGAGGGAGAGAGAGATGGGGCAAGAACGCAGCTCAAGTGCAGAGGGCTCTTCATGCTCAGAACTCCCAGCCAGGTGCTTGTGCGGCCTTTCCGCTGTCCACTGTCCTGCTGCCGGCAGGGGACAGGGAGGGGACCCGTGCCCCAGAGGCCCTTCCTCCATATCACTCACCCCACGGTTGCTATCTG